AAGGTATTAAAATGATTAGTAAGCGGGCGCGGGAATGTCCGATGGCGACGGGGAGGGCTGACCGGGAAAACACACGTCACGCAGGGAAAGGACGAGCACCTGGACCACATCCGAGCGTAGAACTTCCCTTTCCCCCTGTTCGTCCTCACCTGAGGGTCTATTTTTCTGCTGATTTTTTTTAGAGAGAGTGGGAGGGGAGAAGAGAGAGAGAGAGACACATCGACGGCTGCCTCCTGCACACGCCCCGACTGGGGCCAGGGATCAAACCTGCGATCCAGATACGTGCCCCTGACTGGGAATCGAACCCGAGACCCTTCAGTGCTGGGACCAATGCTCTAACCACTGAGCAGCCAGCCAGGGCCCAATGTAAACCTTAGGACAGAAAGCTACACGGTCGGCCAGGCCAGGTCGAAGCGGATGCTGGGTAAACGCAGAGCGTCTGCGAATCAACAAGAAGCTGACGGCCCCTCGGCAGGAGCGTGGAGACGGGAAGCTCAGGGAGTGGGGGGCGGAGCGGCCGAGGACCCGGAAGGTGCTCTGGATCAGAGAAAACCGAGTCCAAACGAGAGGGCCTTTGCCGCCTGTGGGCCGGGCCTGGCGTAACCTGACAGCACTGCCGGTGCGGATGGGGCCCAGGGAGTCCCCCCCAGCCCCCCACCTCCCGTGCCCCTGGATGACAGCGTGGGCCACCCCTTGGGGAACAATCAGGGAGAGGCATGAAGGTTAACCCTGGGAACCAGATGGCAGCAGGGTCCCCGTCTGCTAAGTGGTCAGTCTCATTTGAAACCGTCACCCTTGCCCGCCCGGCGTGGCTCAGGGGTTGAGCGCTGACCTGTGAACCAGGAGGTCATGGTTTGGTCCCGGCAGGGCACAGGCCCAGGTTGCTGGCTCCATCCCCAGTGGGGGGCGCGCGGGAGACAGCTGATCGCTGATTCTCTCTCCTCGTCGATGTTTCTATCTCTCCCTCCCTCTCTCCCTAAAGTCAATAAAAAGCATATTTTTTAAAACATCGTCCTGCCTGCCTTTATGCTCGCCCCCTACCCGCCCCCCCGGCCCAGCGCAAAGCCCCCCTCGGGCCTCGAGAAAATGCCCGGATGAACCGAAGCCCAGGGCACCCTGCCCCGGTGCCGGCGCCCTCGAACCCGAGCACGTGCCCGAGAACGGCTTCTGCCCCTGCGATCCCCAATGCTCAGGGCGGGGGGGGGGGGAGGCGGGGGGCCCCTCGGGTCACACTGGGACTTCCAAGGCCCAGCTGCTGGGCACCTGGACCCTCCCGAGGTGCCCGGGGTGCCTGCGGGAGGCAGAGGCCGGCCAGGGCAGGCTGCTCCCACTCCCACTGCAGGGCCGACATGAGCGGCTCCCGGGGGGTCGGGGGGGGGGCACACTCCTCCCTCCAGCCCCTGGAGACAGCCTTCACCCCGAACCACCGCAGGGCTCAGCCCGGCCAGCACAGCGCCGGCAGCGGGGGCGGCAAACGACGAAGCGGCCGGCAGGTGCGAGCTCCGGTCCACGCCTGGAGGCCCCTCTGTCCGCGGCCCCTCTGCCCACCCTCAGCCCGTCTCCTGAGGACCCCCCCTCGGTCGCTGCATTGGGTGTGGAGAGCTGCTCTCCCCTTGGGCCACTCTGCCTCCTCCGGGTCCCCCAGCCCCGCACATGGACCCCTCGCTGGCGTCTGAGCACAGCCTCCTCCTTCCCAGGAGCCGCCTGGTGACAGCCACCACCCCGCCAGGCCCAGGCCAAGCCCTCACCTGGCCGGGGCCCCCCCCCCGCCCCCGCCTGGGAAGGAGCCCAGAGAATCAGAACCTGGGAAACCAGGCAGCCCCTGGACAGGCAGGGTCTCCTGATCTCTTTTTTAAAAAATTCTATTTACTTTTTAAAAATATGTTTTTATTGATTTCAGAGAGGGAGAGGGAGAGAGAAACATCAATGACGAGAGTGAACCATTGATCAGCTGCCTCCTGCACCCCCCACAATGGGGATCGAGCCCACAGACCCAGGGTCACCTCGATCACAGCCCCTGTCCCTCTTTGCCCTAACTGTCCCCTCCCCGGGGCCCCGGATGGACAGACGGATGCAGTAAAGGCGCATTTCCCAGGCTTTTCTGCTGGGGCTGCCGGCCGCCCGGGGACACTGGGCCTTCAGGCTACAGAGCAGGAGGCTGGGATTCGTGGGAGAGAGAGTTCAGGGTCCAGAGCCAGGGACCCGGACAGGAGCCTCACTCCCAGGTCCTGGGGAGCAGGAGGCACACCAGCCGCCCAGCAATCCCCACACCGAACCCCACTTTGGGAAAGGACACAGATTGTCCCCTCTCTGGGGTAAAGCGAGTGAGATGAGGGGTCCCTCCTCTATGGAGCCCGGGTTTGGGAGTGTTCCTCCATGTGGGACAACTCCTGGCCCCTCTCCCTTCGCCTCCACGCTGTTCCCATCGCCTATAAAACACAAGGTGCAAGGCTACCTGGGGACTCGCTTATCAGCCTCCTGGGGGCACTCCCCACCCCTGACCCCCGCCTGCCAGGGTCCAGGCTTCTCCCAGGGGGCCCCGCCAGGCCTGAGCAAGTCACCTTCCCAGGGTGACCCCTGGATGCGGGAGGCGGGGACTGTGACCAAACCCCCACGCACTTGCCAAGCACGCGCATGAACGGATGAAGGAGGAGTGAGCACCTCTTGGAAACGCCTGAATATGAACCGGGCTTTCTTTTCATTTTATTTTTTAATGTATTTTCACTGATGTCAGAGAGGAAGGGAGAGGGAGAGAGGGATAGAAACATCACTGATGAGAGAGAATCACTGATTGGCTGCCTCCTGCACACCCCACACTGGGGATCGAGCCGGCAACCCGGGCCTGTGCCCTGACCGGGAATTGAACCCTGATCTCCTGGTTCATAGGTTGACGCTCAACCACTGAGCCACACCGGCCAGGCTGAACCGGCCTTTCGAAAGCAAACTGTGCTTGGAGCCGGAAGCCACCGGACCCCACACCCTAACCCTAACCCCCACCAAAACGGGATCTAATTTGTTCCAAGCGGCCAGGTGCCCACCGGGAGCTGCCTTCAGGGGTAAAGTCGCCAGATTCATCAAGATCGCCTTTCCTGGGTGAGGAGTTACAGCCTCCTCCCAAAGGGCCCAAAAGAGCACCTTTCCCCCCTTCTTCCCTCTAGGAAAACCGGGGGTCCCTGAGGACCAGCGCCCTTAGGGAGGCTCCCGGGCGCTCCCCACCCAGCCACCTGAGGGCACCCCATTCCTACGGAGACAAGGGTCCCCCGCGGGCCCTGCGGGCGCTCACCTCCTACCCACATAGGAACAGCCCCAACCACCACAGAACCCAGTGGGCGCAGAGCTCCCACAGGCCAAGGTGCAGCTCTTCTAGCAGAGGCTGGTCGCCCACAGGGCATGGAAACACGGCCTCCAGCTGCCCCCGGGGCATGCGGGGAGGCCCTCCAGCCCCCAGGGCGCCAGGCTGGGCCTCACTAACCACTCTTTCCTGTGGACACCCCACACCTGGGTCAGGGCTGAGGCCAGGGCTCTCCCTGCCCCGCCAGCGAAGTCCGAAGTCCAAGGACAAGGCCCAGGTAGAGCTCACCCCCGGCCCCCCACGGAGGGCTTCCTAACGCCCTGCCGGTGGCGCCTCCTCTAATTAGCGGTGGCCTCGTTAATGCCAACTCGAGTTCCAGACAAAAAGAGGTCACGGAGCTATCCAATTTACTCCCGCGAATTTCCAGGGGAACCGCTGTATTTCCAGCCGGTCTCTGAGGACCCCCAGGCCCGTGGCCGCTGCCAGCCCGAGGCCTCCAGTCCTGCGGCCTGAGCTCCCAGCTGGCCAGCGAGCCAGCCGAGCGCAGTCTCGGATCCCGCCCCCCAGGCGGCCTTCAAGGCTCCGCGGCGAGAGCCCACGGTCCCGGGCACGGCCTCCTCCCCTTTGGACGCTCCCAGCCCCACGGAGACGCGAACCTCGCCTGCCCGACCCCCATCCGGTGCGAGACGGCCGGCGCGCAGACCCCCGCGAGGGCAGCCGGCCGCCGGCCCGCACCCTCGGAACCCGGCGAGGAGACCCTCGCGGGGGTCGCACCGGCTCCACGATCCCGCGGCCCCAGCTCAGGGGCAAGGGCGGGGTGGGTGCCCGGTGCGCGCCCTGCGGAGGCGCCGGGGCCGGGCCGCCGGGAGGAGCGCGGCCCGCGAGAAAGTTGCCGGGAAACTTGAGAAGCGCGCGGGGCCGCCTCCTGCATAATTCACGGCGGCGGCGGCGGGACCGGGACGGCTCCCCTGCTCCGACCGGCGCCCCCACCCCGGCTGGGGCGCGTGGCGGGCGAACAGGGCGCTTGGCGGGGACTCTGCGTGACCCCGGGGGCCCGGGGGCCCATCCCGTGACCACGAACCTGCACCGGGGACGCCGGACGGGGCCTTCCGGGGCCGCTGCACCGACCGCGCGCTCCCGGGCGGGGGTCCGGGCGCCGGTGCGGGGCCTGGTGACCGCAGCTGGGTCTTCCAGGTCCAGGCGACCGCGGCGAGGTCCCCGCTCCCCGCTCCCCGCGCGCCCCCTGGCGGCCCCGCGCCGGCTCCTCGGCGGGCAGCCTGACCCAGGTCACCGGGTCGGCGGGCGGCGACCTGGGGCAGAGAGGGGGTGGGGGAAGGGGAGACAGGGGGGAAACCCACCCGCCTTGCCCCACGGGGGGCGCCGGGCTTGTTAGGGGTGAGGGGTTCGCGCGCGAGGGAGACAAAGGGGGTGTCCTGCGCCCACGTCGTTTCTAAAGCATCTTAAACCGGCCCCCGATCCAGCAGAAGCGGCGGAGGGTCTCTCCAGGGCGCGCAGACCCCGCCCCACCCCCAGCCCGGACTCCGCGGGTCCAGGACGACGCTGACCCGGGAGTTGGGGCTCCCGGAGTCCGAACGCACCCCAAGTGCAGCCGGCGCGCAGGGGCGGGCGCCCAGGGGCACCTCCTGTTCCTCCCAGACCCTGCCGGGCGCCCAGCCACCCCCCCCCCGCGCCCCCGCCGCCGCCTTACCTGGTGCCTGGCCTCCGTCGGCTCCCGGCGAGCGGTCAGACCGGGGCCCCCTGGGGAGGGCGGGCGGCCGCGCGCACCTGGCTGGGCCGCGGGGACCGAGGACCCGGCGGCGCCGCGCCCAGCGGCCGGAGCGCGCGAGCCGCCGCCGCCGCCGCCGCGCAGGTGTCCGGGCGGGGGGAGGGGCGGGGGGAGGGGAGGCGGCGGCCCCGCCCCGCGGCTGCGGGAGGCCGGGAGCGCCTCGCCGGTGGCTGGGCCGTCCCTCCGCTCGGTCCCGCGCGGGCGGTGGGGCCGGCGAGGGTGGGGGAGGGTCCTCTGGCTGCCCAGGGGCGCGCGTGGCCCCGGACCCGCGCGAATCTCTCCGCGGCGAGACCGTGGACCCGCCCCACCTGCTCCACCTGCTCGGCCCGGCGGCCGCGCGGCTCAGCTCGGCGGGCGGGTCTGTTGTAGCAACGCCGCCCGGCAGCGCCCGGGCGCCCCGCCCCGCCCGCCCCGCCCCGCCGCGCGCGGCCGCCCCTCCGCGGAGAGCCCCGCGCACCGGCGGGTCCCCGGGTCTGCGGAGCCGAACTGGGTTCTGTGCGATTATCCCGGACGCGGGGGCTCCCGCCCCGGGGCATCGGCGTAAACAGGACCCGGGAACACCGAGGCCCGCCCGTCGGAGGCGTGCGGAGCCCGGGAAACTTGGTGCCCGGGACGCGCCGCCACCGCTCCCCCGCCTCCCACCCGGCGCCCCAGCCCGGGGCTGAGACTCGGCGGATCTGCTCCTCCCGAGGCAGGAGCCCTGGCTGGCAGCTGTGCTCGGCCCTAACTACTTCCTCCCTCCCGTGCTGTGTGGCTCCGAGTAAGCGACCGAGGTCTCTGGTCCTGAGCTTCCAATAGTCCGTATTTCTGCCTCCAAGATCTGCCAAGGGGGGCGAGGGGGGCACCCGCGTCCAGGGGTGTAACAGCTGCTCCCAGGACAGAGAGCCTCCGTTACACAGAACCCCAATGCGCCTCCCGTGAAGGAAACTACACATATAGCATATGCCATAGCCAGTGGTTCTCCACCTTCCGGCCCTTTAAACACAGTTCCTCATGTTGTGACCCAACCATAACATTATTTCCGTTGCTACTTCATAACTGCAATGTTGCTACTGTTAGGAATCGTCATGTAAATATCTGATATGCAGGATGGTCTCAGGCGACCCCTGTGAAAGGGTCGTTCAACCGCCAAAGGGGTCGCGACCCACAGGTTGAGAACCGCTGCCATAGACTTTTGTATTTTATAGGCACATTTTTAAATTTTTAAATTATTTTTAAAGTATATCTTTTTATTGAGTTCAGAGAGGATGGGAGAAGGGAGAGAGAATTATGGAGCCCGAAACGGGACATCATTTTAATACATATTTCACACATAGTTGTTAAGTCAATCTTATAGGACATGCCTGAGAGAGTTGCATGGGCCAGTGAGTTCAACATACCAAAGGCAAAGTTAAATATTTGCTCTAGATACTTTTTTTTCCTGCTTGCATAATTGTCCCACATTTCAAAGAAGTCTTTAAAAGCACTTGGGTTAAAAAATAAAATAAAAAAACAGGTTGTGTTTGTGTTCGGGCCCCTGGCGTGTCTCACTGGGCCCGACCCCGGGCAGATGGCCACTCGCGGCCTCCTCGCGTTCGCGTCCTCCCCGGGAGGCATGTGCTGAAGGGAGAAAGGAGGCAATCAGTCAAGTCAGAGCGATCCTGAACGGGCGGAAGGAAGCCGGCCCGGCCTGCAGGCCTCATTCCTTTGGCCGGCCCTGCAGAGGGCGGGCCAGCAGGCCGCCCCGTGTTCTCTGGGCTGGATAGGGGCAGATCCACACTACGGCTTTTGAGGGGGGTGGGGGGCCACTTCCCCTGACTTCTATCAGTCCCTCCCGTAACCCCAAATAAGTCGGGTCAGCTGAACTGAAGGGCTGTGCATGCCCCACCACCCCAACGCCAAGACAAGTGCCACGCTACCACCTGCCTGCACCCAGATGCCCCCCACACCCCTCCCCAACTTCTAGGAAAATCTCCGCGGTAGCTGGGGAGGCAGCAGGCCAGAGCTCAGCAGACACCTCCCCGCTGTCCCCACAGAGCGTTCAGAGCCAGAGCCCCGCTGTCTCCAGAAATACTTCTCCCCCAGGGACCCAGGCCTCTACCAGCCCGTCCCCCCTCCTCCACCCCCCTCCCCATACACACACCTCAGCACCCCCAGCTCCTCCAATCTGTCTGAGGCCCAACAACAGCGCTCTGTGAGCACCCCGTCTTTTGGCATCTTGAGGGCGGCTTCCTGCTCTCGTCCCAGTTTCCCGGCCGTTAGAGACGCCGAGTTCAGCCTGTGCCCATGAGGCAACATCCTCCGTCCTTACAAACCCCCTGTGGGCAGGCTGGGTCGGACGGGCAGCTGTGCCCATGCTCACCCCGGTGCCCTGGGAGGGGTGTCAGTGCCCGGGGCACCTCCATCCCCGGCAGCCCGCCCCCGCGGGGTGTGGGCCTCTGCGGTGCTGACCTCGGAGGACTTCTCTCAGCGGCCTGAGTCCCGGGGGCCCAGAGCGGCCTGTGGCCGAGCCCCTGGGTTAGTGTCCGCAGAGGAAAGGGAGCACCTCCTTTTTGCGTCTGGATTTCGGAACTCCGTGTGTTGGCTCCCGAGGCTGCCTGGCCCGGGGCCCCACGTGCCTGCTGAGGTCTGAAAGGGCCTGTTAGAGAGCTCTCTTTTTTTTCTTTTAAATATTTTAAAATTTATTTCAGAGAAGAAGGGAGAGAGAGAGAGACATAGAAACATCACTGATGAGAGAGGATCATTGATCGGCTGCGTCCTGCACGCCCCCCACTGGGGATGGAGCCCGAAACCTGTGCCTGTGCCCTGACTGGGAGCCAAACCGTGACCTCCCAGTTCCTGGGTCGACGCTCAGCCCCTGAGCCGCGCCGGCCGGGCTCCACCTGAGAGCTTCGCCTTCTCCTGGAGAGCCGGAGCCCGGAGCCGCCCGCCAGGCCAGGGCTGCTCGCTGAGCACAGAGCACCGGCCTCCCAGGCAGAGGAGGGGCACTGAGCTGGAAACGGGCAGCGTGCGTGAGGGGACGTGGAGCGTGACCGACTCCCTGTCCCGGGAAACACCGCACACGTTCTGTGGCTCAGGTGAGCCCCGGGCAGCTGCAGTCGGCGCAGCCCCGTCCCTCCCCGGGGGCGCTCCTGGCCTGGGACCTGGGGGCCAGCACTGTTTGGGAGACGGGGCCTTAGGCTGTCCAAGGGGAGCGACCTAGCCCTTCCCCTCAGCTGACAGGTGGGAACGGAGGTGCCAAAAGAGATGGGATCTGCCCAGGTACATGAGGCCAGAGCCGGAGAAAGGCAGGCATGCCCAGGTGTGCAGGGCAATGCAGGGAAAGGCAGGCATGCACAGGTGTGCCCAGGTGTGCAGGGGCAATGCAGGGAAAGGCAAGTATGCCCAGGTGTGCAGGGGCAATGCAGGGAAAGGCAGGTATGCCCAGGTGTGCAGGGCAATGCAGGGAAAGGCAGGCGTGCCCAGATGTGCAGGGCAATGCAGGGAAAGGCAGGTGTGCACAGGTGTGCAGGGGCAATGCAGGGAAAGGCAGGCGTGCCCAGATGTGCAGGGCAATGCAGGGAAAGGCAGGTGTGCCCAGGTGTGCAGGGCAATGCAGGGAAAGGTAGGCGTGCCCAGGTGTGCAGGGCAATGCAGGGAAAGGCAGGTATGCCCAGTTGTGCAGGGCAATGCAGGGAAAGGCAGGTGTGCCCAGATGTGCAGGGCAATGCAGGGAAAGGTAAGTGCTCCCGCCATTTCTGTGGACGCTCCATGCTTTTGCAATTCTTTCCTCCATGTTTTCTTTTTTTTAAAATACATATTTTATTTATTTTTTTACAGAGAGGAAGGGAGAGGGATAGAGAGTTAGAAACATCCATCAGCCGCTTCCTGCACACCTCCTAGAGAGGATGTGCCCGCAACCAAGGTACATGCCCTGGACCGGGATCGAACCCGGGACCTTTCAGTCCGCAGGCCGACGCTCTATCCACTGAGCCAAACCGGTTAGAGCAATGTTTTCTTTTTTATATATAAATATATTTTTGTTGATATCAAAGAAGAAGGGAGAGGGAGAGATAGAAACATCCATGATCACTGATCGGCTGCCTCCTGCACGCCCCCTACTGGGGATCAAGCCTGCAACCCGGGCACGTGCCCTTGACCGGAACCGAATCCGGGACCCAGCATCCGATTTATGCTCTATCCACTGAGCCACACCAGCCAGGGCCTTTCCTCTGTTTTCCTCCACGGCAGGCGGTCCGCTTCCTCCTGTGCCCACACAGCGGGCACTGGGCAGCTCTCTCGTTTCTCCATGAGCCCATGACCACCGCTGGCTGTGACGAGGATGAGGCCGGGACTGGACGGCGGAGAGGGCCCGGCCCGAGGGACGCGCGTCCCAGAGCGGGGCCCCAGAGGGTGGGCGGATGCGGACCACCAGCAGCTTTCGCTCTCAGTGGGAAACGCAACCCCGCGGAAGAGCCATTGTCCCCGAGGCGACAGCGACAGTGAGGAGCCCCGGGGCAGAGCCGGTGAGCACGCTGCCGACGTGACAAACCTTAGGAAGGTGTGGACCCGGCCGGCGGGGCTCAGGGGCTGAGCATCGACCTAGGAACCAGGAGGTCCCGGGTTCGGTTCCCGGTCAAGGGCACAGGCCTGGGTTGCGGGCTCCTCGCCCTGTTCTGGGGCATAAGCCGGAGCCAGCCAATCGATGTGTCTCTCTCGCATCGGTGTTTCTCTCTGCCCCTCCCTCTCTCTCCCACTCTCGCTAAAATCAATGGGAAACATCCGAGGGTGAGGACGGAAAAGAGGGGGAGCGGAGGCTGCGGCACCAGGAAAGACGGCCCTGCTCTAACTTGCCGGGAACCTCACGCTTTGTGGAACCTTTGGAACTTTCTAGTCTTGGATGATCCTGCACATGCAGGGGGCCCTCCAGGTAACCCACGCCCCTCCACCTGATGCCCACCTGACACCCGCTACCCAGGTGTGACTGGGAGGTAGACCTGGCGCCGTCCTCTGGGCCACCTGGCAGCAGCCGTCCCGACCGCCTGCCACCTGGCGATCGCCGTCCTGGACCAGCCCCAGATGGAATTC